TCCTAAAAATAATTTCATATCCTGTGATAGTAGTTACAAGACAAAAGTCTGTGTATATGTAAAATTTATAACACTTATGATATTAACGAACTCCTGACGAAAAGAGTAACTTTTTATATGTCATGTCACTCTAAAACACGAAGTAAAAAAAGACGAGAGGTAATTTTGTCTGGAAAGTACGAAGCCAAATATTAAGGCCGGCTGAAAAATTGAATATGCAACTCCATCAAAATTTTAATTTTATTTGTTTACAACAGCAAGCTGGTTCACCAGTACATTTTTTTTTTGCTTAAGTAAATAAATAACGATGGCAGCAAGTGATAAAAATGTCGTGTTTTGTAAATGCATTATTTATAATTTTTTTAGTTGTTTCTACATAGTCTTGGTATAATAATAACAGGCTAATGTTAAATACGAAAAAATGTAATGTCATGTCTTTCTCCAACAAGTTCAATCGCATTATGTTTAATTACAGCATTGATAATGACGTTTTGTTAAGACCAAAAACATTTCGAGACCTGGGCGTTGTATTTGATGAAAAACTATCATTTAATAATCATAGATACTGCTGTCTTCGAAGCTAATAGAGCATATGGATTTATAGTTCGCAACTGTCGTGATTTTTCAAGCTTAAATATCATAAAGCTTATTTACTTTAGTTATGTTAATCGAAAATTGAATATACATCTCCCGTATGGTCTCCGCACAGTGGTGTCCACATTAATAAACTGGGGTCGATTCAGCGTCGATTTTTTAAATTTTTAAATTTTATATCTGATGGCTACTATCCTCGCTCATATCGGATATCCGCATGAGGACCCTTTAAATAGACATTCCTTTATTAGCCTTGAAACTAGACAGAAATACTTTTCGCAGGTCTTACTTTTTAAAATTTTACGTAATTCGGCTGACTTCCAGGAATTTATAACCAAATTATCATTTTCTATACCAAGACTTAGTTCTAGAGAAAACGGAACATTTTATTTGCCAACTCCTCGCACTAATGTACTCAAACATTCACCACTTCATGAAATCTGCAACAACTGTAATAAAAATTCTGTAGATATTTTTAACTGCAGCCTTAATGACTTAAAAATACTTTATTTTTAATGTCCGGTAGTTTCAAATATGTAGCTTATCTTCATTTATTTAGTGTAAAGATTTTATTTATTTCCTTCCTTTTTTTATGGTGGTCTGTATTTTTTGTTCCTTTTAATTTTGTTTGTAATTAATGTACTTCTTTTATTATTGTCTGTAAAATCCCTCTTCTATAATTGGGTATAATAAGTACCTGTTGAACAGTGTATTAAATAAAATAAAATAAAATAAAATAAAATAACATAATATAATGCACGTATACAAAATATCGGTTGTTATACAGGGTGTCCCGTTCATGTTTCAAAAAAAACTTATGTGCAAGTTCCTCATGGGAAAATAATAGGGGTAGTTCATATAAAGTTTTTTTCTTAGACGCTCTGTTTTCGAGATACAGTGTGTTGATGTTGTTACTTTCCAAATGGTTTTCCTTAATTACCTTTAAAACGGCTAAAGATGAAAATGTCAAAATTTGTATACGAGTAAACATCGACTCGCGTTAAGAATAATGTGCAAATTGTCTCTGAAAAGCAGTGTTGCCGATACAGGTAATTGAAGGGGTACAATCGAAGAAAAAATACGTTAAAAATCAAAATTTATTACATTTCTAAACGGTTCTGTAAACTCTAAAGGATACTACAAAAAAAAAAGGTATACTTGTCGAAAGTACCTGTACCATTTTCGAGAAAAATGAAGTTGAATTTTTTTTGTTCACATAAAGCGGCATAAGTACATTAACAAAATATTAAATTGAAAGAGGACCTTACCATTGAATGAGTTGAAGACATTTAGCTACCAACAGTATTTACATTTAAGACTATAATTTTAATTTCTTACGTATCACATGAAACAGTTACATTATAGAACATTTTATTAACTAAAAAAAAATTTAAATTTATTTTAAGTTTCAGTTTGTTGTAAACTAACATTTAAAAAAGTAAATAAAAATAAACAGATTATGGTAATTAATTAAATAAATGTGCAAACTCGAAATACTACAGTAGATACTGAAATTGTCCCCCATTTCCTTCTATGCAACTTCATTTTTCTCGAAAATGGTACATGATACCGAATTTCGACGAGTGTACCTTTTTTTGTAGTATACTTTAGAGCTTACAGAACCATTTAGAAATGTAATAAATTTTTACTTAACATATTTTTTTTTCGATTGTACCCCTCCAATTAAGCGAAAGAAAGAAACCGTTTGCACATTATTTTTAACGCATAGTTGATGTTTACTCGTCTACAAATTTTGACAATTTTATCTTTAGCCGATTTAAAGATAATTAAAAAAAACCATTTGGAAAGTAACAACTTCAACACACTGTATCTCGAAAACAGGGCGTCTAAGAAAAAAACTTTACATGAACTACCTCTACTATTTTTCCATAAGAAACTTGCACACAAGTTTTTTTGGAACATGAACGGGACACCCTGTATAAATTCCATTTGTCAAGTAAAATATTGCCAGTGCATTTTGTTTTTCTTAACTTTTTTAGTATAAAAACATATTCAGAAATAAAATTACTGATAAGAAGATTCATGCAAATTTAGTTAGTTCAGTATTTAATGTTAATTTAAAAATGCGGACCTAACATTGAACGTAACTCTGACGAAAAAGTAATACGTTGCTACCTGGCTGTGTAGAAAAATCAAGTTTAAATAGTCGGTGTATATGTCCATGAAACTATCGAAATTAAATAGAAGTAAATATCTACGCAGTTTGTAAATGGTCAGCAGTATCCTCCTCTCGATATTTTGATTTTTTGGTGTAAGCAAGTATCCCAAAATCCGGCAAATTCAGACCATTCAAAATCCACCTGCATCAAGAACCAGAAGATTATGACAGAGACTGATGTCTCTTGCATGGCTAGCGACTGTTCGTCAAGATGGCATTATTAACTCAATATTATGGTCAGATGAAAGCCATTTTCATAATAATGGAACTGTCAATCGATACAATGCAATTAATGGTCTGTAGATAATTCTCATTGGATGAGAGGGACTAATTTTCAAATAATTTCGGGAATTAACGTATGGAGCGGTATGATCGATGGATACATTATCGGACCAAAGTTTTATGAAGGTACATTCACTGGTGAGGTATATCTAGAATTCCTTCAGAACTAATTTCTAGGTTTTCTTGGAAATGTTCCTCTGAATATACGTGCCAACATATACTTTCAGCATGATGTGGCACTCTCTCACAATTCCAGAATTGTAGCTGCTTATTTAAATCAAATACCTAATAAAATTTTCACTAACAAGTGGATCATCACATACGGACCAATAAGATGGCCTGCAAGAGCACCCGATCTAACACCGTTAGATTATTTTCTGTGGGGATATTTGAAGGATAGAGTATCAACAAGAGAGTCATAATACCGTTCTTGTATAAATAAAATTAATAGGTGTAATATTTTTTTATAATTTATTTAACATTAATTCAATTATATTACATAGAGATCTTAAAAATAAACATTTTGGAAAGAGTGTCTGTGTTACTTTGAAATTTAAATCCAAAATAATGCACATACTTTTCATAATTTTCTATAATCCCAATTTTGGAAACATTTAAAATGCAATTTCGCTTCTGTTTTGAAGTCTAAATTAATACGAAGTGTAATACTTTGCGAAAAATTGAATTTTTTGTAGAAATCAAATTTTAAGAAAAATATACAGGGTATCATTTAAAATAAAAAATTACGGTCGGTTCCGGTTAAACCGGAAGAGAAATAATTTTATTAGGCTTCATTTAAAGAAGCTTAGGTGTATATTAGATGCCCCAAATTTCAAATTTATGGTTTTTTAAGTAATGGAGTCATGCCATTGGAACATTGCTTAACTTTGCTTTAATAAATTCAAGATGCCATAAACTAGTGCACATTTATGTTTTTGCGCTATAAATTTATTAAACTGATTTTTAATTAAAAATACCACAAAAGGTGTTTTATAATAATGCCATCCTGTTCAAAACAAAGGGCATTCTTATTGCCCGGAAGAAGTCCTGAAAGAATGAAGTTCTTATGGAAGACCTTTTCTTATAATATAATTTTTCTTAAAACATTTAAAGCTTTGGTAGATTTACCAGCTGCAGAGCATACTGGTTCCGTGGTATTTTTTATTATGTTCATTGTGTAAGGTTAGTAAATAAAGTAAAATGTTGTGCAAACTGGCAAGAGAAATATTGAACAATATATTGTTAATTCGGAAAAAAGAAACCAAATATATAGGGTATTTCATTAATCACAATTTTTCTTATAACCGAAGCACAACATTCAATTGTTGTTTTATCGCAAGAAAATTGACCAACATTTTGGTCTTTATAATTTCTTTTCTAGGGACAAGCAAAAGAGGTAGCATGTTACGTCAATGCATTGGTATGTATGTACAGAGTGAGTTTTTCAATTATGCCTGATATACAAGTATATGTGAAATGTATTAATTATTAAACTTTAAGACTTCGTAACTTCTAAACGAATTGACCGAATTTCAAAAACGGAGCGCTATTGTATAGAGAATCAAAAAGCCTTTTTAGATGACATATCACTTGGCCACTTGGAATATTTTGGTGGATGACTCCCCCGCATAGGAGAATTTAGTTTCACGTCAAAAGTTGTCTCCCTCACAAACAAAATCGAGGTGTTTCAGCATTTTTTCGACAAGATATTTTCCTGGCAGATATGCCCTACGGTACGTTTTCGATGGGTCACACTATACAAATATGCAATATAGAAACTGTGAGACATAGATGAACACCATTTATGATCCTGTAATTCTTGATAACCTCCGGCGAAGTGTAAAATCTATTATGCAGTTGCTAATTGACCCATTTCTGGGACAATTACGCAACGTAGTAGAAACACACAGCTTAATTATTAATTCTCCTGTTTATTTTATTGCAGAGATCTGGAGCACAACCGCATCCAGAGGATTCACACCCGACAAGTTAGTAAAGTGAAGGCTGAACAGCTGTAAGTACTTATTAGGGAATATATAATTGTATTCTCCATCCGTTTGCTTGATCCTTAACATTGTTAGACGAGGGAATGGTGATTGGGAAGGTTGATTGTCAACGTGACTCGCACTGATTTGAAATCTACGGAGACTAATGAACGTCGGAAATACGATAGTAAATGGATACCTTATGAAATTTTATTTGAATTATTTTCAAGGGTATTCACGGAAGGTACTAACAATGTTTAGAAAAAGTGCATTGAAGATAAATGATTTCAGTGCCTTTATTGTTAGAGCTGGTTTTATTCCAGCTGAATTTTAAAACTTTTATCGAAAACTACACATTGATACTGCGCTTTAAGAGTGCGCTTTAAGAGATATTTTATGACACTATTTACTTTATATTGATTTATTTTCATGAAGTGTAAAATATCATTTTCACAACTCAAATTTACAAATATGTCTTGCTATATTATTATATTATATTTTTTGGATATCAAAATTAAAATAAAAATTTACAAAATTGTTGCACTAGTAACTATAGTTGATATAGAACAACAATTTGTATCACATATTGTTTTAAATAAATACTAATAAAATCTCTAAATTTCATAGATTTGCCACAAAAATTTCTTTGTTATAACTTTTTCAACCAAATTACTGTCGAAATTTTTGTAAACAAAATTGGAAATGTTTACTACAAATGTTTCCTAGAAATTATATTAACAATGATTATAGTAATTAAAGTTACAAAAGCAACACAGATTAAATATAGGAAGCAAATAGCACGATCTTGAAATAAAACACAAACAGTATTGAAGTTTAATCAATACCTAAACGAATTTGAAAAGCACTTTCTAAGATTATTACAATTACTTATGTCTTTACATAGCATAATGTCACATTTTTCAGCTGCCAATAAACAAGAAATTTTGAGGCATATCAATAGATATTTTTCAGTTTTTAGAAGAAAATTTATTTACTGTAACTTATTTTACACAATAGGCATGATGACAGATTTTGAAAAACTTTTGTATGATGTTCGGAAGTATTTACTATTTCCAAAAATATTTTATTTCTGTAGAAAATAAAAGGTGTAGTACAAAAATATTGACATTTTAATTTTAAGTATAAACTCACGCAAAAACGGTCGCTGATGGCATGGCGTCTACATGACGTCACATCTATGTTTGTCAACAGTAAACATAAGGTGCTAATATTTTGTGTTGCAAGATTCATTGGTTCAATAAAAATACAAAGTTACCGTAATAGTATATGCATTTTATTTTATTTACCCTCAAATTGTACTTTGATATAATAATGGATACACATTATCTCCATGAAGAGACTAAAACATTAAGAAAATCTGATACATAGTTTTTTTTCTCCAAACTGGTACTTACAGTTTTCCTTATTGGTTTTGCACCGATAAATTCAAACGCTCGTGAGGCCATATCTTAACTCATGCCAAAAACAGCTTTGATGTTGGTCTCGTCTCTTCTTCAACTTTCATGTTATCTGCTTTAGTCAATAGGAGTTTTTTCAAAAATGTGTCGCAGAACTGTCCTTTGTATTTCAGCACCAATTTATGCATGGATAAACTTTTGATCACAAACATTCGCTCTGATTGGTGTTCAACCTATCATGGCGGTTTGCTGTATTTTGTAGTTTTATTTTATCAAAAATATTATCAATCTTGCTCATAATATAAAAATAAATACGTTTTTTATAATCCGTGAATCATATTTCATTAGATAAATACATAATTTTAGTGATTCTTGGTTACTGTCATCATGTCTATGATGGATGTCAAGAACAATACATCTACTTTTACGGCAGAACTAAAGCGAATCTTAATATAATTAAAGATACAAAAGACACAGGTATAGAAAATAACACATACTTGTTGCGCATGTCAGTGTCAGACATTTTATTGGAAAATTTCTATACTTTAAAAATTTTCAATAAAGACAACTATATCGCAGTAAAATGTTTTAGCAACTATTTTCACAACATATACTACTACTACTACTACTAAATTGTAGAATTTAATAAGATGATATTGATAAATTTTCTGCATTTTTTGTAGAGTTATACTCTTTATATGTATATGACTACAATAACCGTGACTTTGCCAATGGAGAACCACAATAATTTTTACAGGGCATTTAAATACCTATTTAAATTATTCTGCATTATAAATTTATGAAATTTGATATACTAGAATTTTACGCGACGCTATTTGAGGTTACATTAATAGATTTTTGATAAAAAAAAATTCAAAAGTTACTTTAAAAAAAATGCTTTTAAAGCAGCTGGTTATTGATTACACAGCCACACAAAAAAAATCGACTTTCGGGCCCAGAGGTCAGACCATGTTTATTATACGTTATTTGGGTCGCTGAACCCGAATCCATTTAACCCCATCACACCAGGATTTTTCTGATAAAAACGATATTCTGAACAATTAAACCATATAACCTTAAGATTCAAGCTTCCAACGCTAAATCCAATTAACCAAATCCCATAAACATTTAACCCAATGATATCCCAACTTAATAAGCCTATGAACCCAAACCCCAATTACCCTATAGCCCCATAACCCGATAACCAAGGGTATAAATCATAGGCAATCTGAATTACTGCAAAATATCACACAGCTTAGGACTCCTTGAAAACCCTAATACTCAAACCCAAAATGCATCCTATACATTGATCTAGTAATTTCACATGTCCGGTCTTTTGATCTAGTCATTCTAGTCATATAATTTTTTGGGTTATCTTCTGTTATCCTTTGAATTTTCATTTCATTTAATCCAGTCAAGAGAAATTCTTAACATTAATTGTTCATTTATTTATTTTAGTTTTATTGATTAATTTATAGTACGGTCTATCATACAAATTATTATTTTTTTTTCAAAAGCTCATATGAGGGCTATATGATGTACGAAATCCGATCGTGCAACCACCTCGTATTGTACATCGGGCAATGCTAATGCCGACGGTCGTACCAATTAAAGTTATAAAAAAATTAGATCGACTGTAACACTCTAACACTCGGTTTTTTGGTGAATGGGATCAAAGGTAATGAAGTTGTGGTTAGGGAATCGTGGGGTTATGAATTGTAGGGTTATGAGAGTTTTGGGGTTTGAGTGCATAGGTTTTTAAGATATGCTTTACCACGTTAACGTTTCGCCATAATGTAGATTGCCTATGATTTATTAGTAATGGGGTATGGGGTTATGAAGTTAGGGGGTTATGGGGTTATAAGGTTTAAGCACTTGGGTTTTCAAGGAGTCCTCAGTTATGTGAGGTTTTGCAATAATACAAATTGCGTATGATTTATTCCCTTGGTTATAGGGTTATTGGGGTTTGGATTCTTGGGCTTATGAGGTTGGGATATCATTGAGTTAAATGTTTATAGGATTTGGTTAATTGGATTTAGCGTTGAAAGCTTGAGTCTTAAGATTATATGGTTTAATTATTGTTCAGAATATCGTTTTTTTTTTTGAGGATATGAAAAATCCTGAGGTGATGGGGGATTCGGATTCAGCGACGCAAAAAAACGTATAACAAACATGGTCTGACCTTTGGGCCCGAAAGTCGATTTTTGTGTGGCTGTATTATGAATCGGATCATTGTAATTGATTCACCAAATGCATCTAAAAGGTTGATAGATATAAAAGAAGCTATTCCAATTATTGTGCGCGCCAAAAAATTATAGACTTGTGTCCTGGTTATTAAAGAGCTACAGTGTCTACAGGGTGTCGCGTTTAAATGTGATACAAGCCTGTAGGTTCTTTATTTTTTGACCTATTTCAAAATAGTATATTAAAGTATAAGTGGATATTAAGGTCTTTAAAACACGCGCGATTTTTCGAGTACGACGGCGCAGCTGTTGTCGTGGGCGGATTGTTTCGGATTATTAAATTTTTTTATAGTTAAACTGTTTTATTTGCACTCGTCTCAGGGTGTCGATTTGATTTACCTATTTTATTTTATTTTTTTTTATTTCATCAAAATGATAGGTAAACAAAACACAATGCACACACGCGACTAGATGGAAAGCGACAGTGTTTCGTCTTGTTCTCTAAAAACGTTGTAGTTCCACAAATAATTTTCAATGGCAAGTCATTTTAGTATCTAAGATGGCGATAAGAGGTTTTAATTTTTTTTTATAGTGTTGCACTCATTTTATGTTTATGCACTTTTTGGTAGTAATACTAGACATGGTAAGTTACATTATATATTTTTTTTCTGTGATTGTACCTCTGCGTGAACTAAGAATAAAATCTTGAAAAAATATATTTAGTAAATAAGATAGAAAAATTCTATAAAAAATATATAATGTAGACTAATGTTTTGTCTAAGGAACAGTTTTTGTTTCATTAGGGCAGTTTTCTAAAAAACAATTTTGAGAAATACCCGCTCTAGCGTTTATTTGATCAATTATCACCAGAACGCAGCGAGATGCGAGGCTGAATTTGTGTCAATGGTAGATTTATATCTCGCCGATGTTACCACACAAGTCATTTTGAAAATACCTTTCTGGGGCCGCTGACCTTCTCTTATCCTGTTAGACCCTTTGAGATCCATCTGTGAATCATAAAAAATCGGAAAAGTACCGAAAGTTCAGGGCCGTCTGATTTTTTTATTTTAAGAGATAGAGAAAACTTATTTTAATCAAATTTCATGGAAAAATTGATATCTTTTACCTGGTGTAAACAGATTTTTAAAATATTGTATGTAATTTGCTACGCCCTCTACGGAGACAAAAAAAATGTTATCGAAGCAGCCTGTGGATACAAAAAATTGCTTGTGTTGTCCTTTTTCATGCGATGTACTACATGTTGCCTTTATCTTTTATATACTACTAACTTAAGATTGACCCCTCAGTCTAATCTCAGATTTAATCTGATTTAAATTCTCAAAATAAAGGAAAATTTTAGAACAAGCACATATCACACATGGCAAATGTATACAAAGGATTATTTAAAATCACATTTTACAATATAATTAATACAGTAATGGTATCTGTTGTTTATAATTAGAGATTTAATAAACTTCTGGTTGTGACGCCGCTAAACAATGGAGCAGTATTATAGGTTGTACTGATTTGGCTAAGCTGGTGTACTATATGCATAGAGTACACCATCAGTATTATAATTAGCGAGATTATGTATATATTTGCTGTCTGTTTACAATAAATAATTAATAAATCGTTTCAAAAATGTTCGAAGTTCAAAATGCAGAATAATGTTTATATCAGTCGATTCCGTACGTATAAATTGTCCCTCAAGAAATAATTTTCCCAAGACGTTATTTGCTGGTTACAGTACTCATTTTATTGCGATTGCATAGACCTTTGTAATGTAGCTGCCACTGACTCTCTGCATTTGTAATAAGCAAGTAAATTAAGTTTTCCCTTTTACTTTTACTTCGCTGGATCCTTATAACTTCCGCTTCACGTCAAAAAGACGTAATTAAAATTCCCCCATTTTCTAGTAACGGCCTTTGAGCTAATTTTTTGTTAATTCTTTTAGGTCACTCAATTACAACAACTTGCAAGTAGTGGAAGAAGCAGGGTTTGCGGGCTCCGAAATTGCCAAATTGTAAGTAGACATTCCCTCTAATGCTTATTTTAGTCTCAAAGAAACAAATAAGTATATCTGGCGATAATTAAGCAATTCTAGAATCGTTATACCGTGCACAGGGAATAAATTACCCGCACTTTGCAGACACTGAAAAACCTTAGTTTAATTAAAGTTATCTGTAACTATTTTTATACGTATAAATTTAAAATACATCAAATTTTAAATCAAAATATCAAAATAAAACAAAACAAAGGAACCCACACACTGAGAGAGTCTCATAATTCATAATCAATCAATCAAATACAACTATATATAAAAATTGTAAAGGCATCCACAACAAAAAACATAATAATATACACTATCGCAAAACATTAATACTACAATCGGATCTCAGTATTCGGAATCGCCGAACGCAACGCATGCACCACACGAATCGAAACAAAATATATTTTACATTGTTTTATATGCATTTGCGCTAACTGGTTCAAGTCGCACGAAACGCACTACCTATGGAAAAGCGAAGCATTGTGATTCGCGCTGTGCGTGCGTTGCATTCGACGCGGATAAGTGAGCGTTTACCTTAACGCGGATAAAATGCATTCCGTTGACCCTAGAGACTACAGTTGTAGCTCAGAGATGTAAACGTTGTTATTACTACAACTACAATAATTTTTTTCTCGGAAACTATAAGGATTTTACAAAAATAATTTTTACGATGTTGACTCCATTTCCTATTACGCATCCATTCCCAAATTTTTTTGGATAAGTTGTGAATCACCTTGTATATCCTGCAATTTAAAATAAGATTAATAAGCTAATATTTAAGGTAACGAAGGAGGTAAATACGAGTACACTCTAAATATTAAATCAAACGATGACAAAATGAATATAATTGAACAATTTTTTAAATATTTTTAAGGTTCGAAAAACCTCGTATTTAATCTACTACATTAACTTATGGACCCATATACGTTAAATTTATATAGAAGTTAATTTTATAACAAAGTTACTTAGAACTAAAAAACGGCGCGAAAGCAAAATTAGATTTATATATAAATTCGAGGCTTATTTCTAGAACAAATTATATCAAATAGAAGAGAAACATGAAAATGTACCGTTTACATTTGCTTGTGAGGAATGAAATGAAATTATAAATTATGTAAATATAAGCTAGTGGCAGTGGAATAGGCGTTATATGTAAATTGCGTGCCGAAGTATATGTTGCAGAGATTAAACATAATGTTCCCAGAGGTGGAAGTGTTTACAGCAAATTTTAGTAAATAATTTTTCTACTTTATATTCACATGTGTAATTCCTCACAGTTGGGGAAAATTTCAGAGGGAGAGAACTATTTGCTAACTATTTAAACGTTACAGAGTTACAGAATACTATGTACTAAAAAATATTAAAATTTTATTGAAAGTATATGTTGTTAGATAATTTCGTTTGACGCAAATATGGATTTAATTTATAACCTATCCTTAGAATGGCCATAGTATCTTTAGGATGCATTTTAGGAATTATTATTATAAATGCTTTTTTATTTTTATATACTATTACGCCTACGGCCCACTCGGTCGTAGACGCACTCTAGGGGGTAGTAGATGGTAGTTAGAGACGAGTTAAAACAAAAACATTTATTACTAAACAATTTTGAAGGAAGGAAATCTTCACCAAGCAAAGGCAAACCAATCTAACATTTTATTCTCATCTCTTGGGTATAAATAGACAGTGATGTCCACATGTGTCACCATACCATCGCTGTAAATGAAGATTATTATACAAATACTCCACACTGCAACCTGTTTAAAAGTTATATAGACTTAAAACCTTACCTTAGTCAAATTATCTTCAGTTCAATTCGCACGTATATGTTAGATTTGGTGACTATTAAACAAAAATAAGGTTTCGAAAAGTCCAACACAAATCTTTATTTCGTACAATTTACAATTTTCTGCCCGGTCTAACTCGAACGAGCGTTCATTCAATAATAATCTCCTGTTGGAGCCGTCACATAATATGGGGACCTAATCTTATTAGCACAGTGAAGGCTGGCTATTGATGACATCATCGTCCCAGACGATGAATGCTCACATATAATACAGCCACTCGTTCACACAGTAACACTATCTTATAAATCCGCTTAGCAAGCGATAATAAAGTTTTAAATCTCCAACTTTATAATAGCTGCAGAAATCAGCATATTATTTACTGGTTAGGTATGTTTGTATGTAGGACTACTGCAGAGCAAACTACTTCCACTGAACAGTAGGCATAATCAACAATTTTATTGTGGTGCCCACGCTCCAATCGAGTAGCCGACAGGACCGACCTTGCCCAGAACAGACTAATGTTTTGTCAGTGCTGGACTTAGACTAAATTTCGTGTGTGCTCAGTAGATTGTTAGGGACGATGTTTTAATTTTTTTTTTTTTTTTTGGTGTATGATTAGGGATAAGTTAGGGACATTTAATTTTGCTTCCACCAGGTAACAAGAGTTATAAATAGAAATTGTTTTAGCAAACCAATTAAAATGGTTCTTACTACACTACACTAAAAATAATACTCGTAGTGGCTAGTGGCTCACTTAACTTCCCAAAATCGACTGTTCCAAGACAGTTCAACGAGCGCGCCACCGCCTTTGGAAAACCACCGTCTTTGCAGGATACCAATACTGCCGTGGCAGCAATTTGAGTTTACCGCCCGGTCCGGTGATTTTGCAATCACCCAGTCGTCGAACTGTCTCTTTGTTTCGCAATAAATTTTTATTGTGAAATATTGCCAATGAATTAATTGAATAAAATGCTCTAATGGAATAATGGAAATTTACTACTAAAATTATTATTAATTTTCTTTGCATTTGACAATACATATATCAAAATTTATTGTACCAATATCTAAAAAAGAAACAAAGAATATAAATTCGGTTTGCAGTGTGCTGCAATTTAATAAGGCNAGCCGACAGGACCGACCTTGCCCAGAACAGACTATTGTGTCAGTGCCGGACTTAGACTAAATTTCGTGTGTGCTCAGTAGATTGTTACGGACGATGTTTTAATTTTTTTTTTGGTGTATGATTAGGGATAAGTTAGGGACATTTAATTTTGCTTCCACCAGATAACAAAGGTTATAAATAGAAATTGTTTTAGCAAACCAATTAAAATGGTTCTTACTACACTACACTAAAAATAATACTCGTAGTGGCTAGTGGCTCACTTAACTTCCCAAAATCGACTGTTCCAAGACAGTTCAACGAGCGCGCCACCGCCTTTGGAAAACCACCGTCTTTGCAGGATACCAATACTGCCGTGGCAGCAATTTGAGTTTACCGCCCGGTCCGGTGATTTTGCAATCACCCAGTCGTCGAACTGTCTCTTTGTTTCGCAATAAATTTTTATTGTGAAATATTGCCAATGAATTAATTGAATAAAATGCTCTAATGGAATAATGGAAATTTACTACTAAAATTATTATTAATTTTCTTTGCATTTGACAATACATATATCAAAATTTATTGTACCAATATCTAAAAAAGAAACAAAGAATATAAATTCGGTTTGCAGTGTGCTGCAATTTAATAAGGCACTCATTTCCAAAACTGACGCAACAAGAAACAAGATTCTCCTATTATTTCTCCTGTCTTCCGTCTTTGTTTTCAATTCAGATTTATGTCATATATGTAGGTATTCGAGAACAACTTAATTTAAGAAGGTGGTGGTGAGGCGATCTAGACGACAGCTGTGATACATTACGAAATAAACTTTATTTTTCACACTACGCGTGATAGTAGCAAAAATTTCAGTTTCAACTAAAAATAGCCGAAAATAAAAAATAGTAAAAAATAATTAGTATGGCTTTAATGTGTGCTTGTTGTGAATTAAATGGTTACAATAATCTCTTTTCACTTGTCAAGTTACATAAAATTCCCATTGTAACCAAATTAAATAAGTAATTTTTATTTTGTTTCATCAGATAAATTCATAATACTCGCAGACAAATGCATCTACCGTCAGTAAAATGATTCTTAATAATTCTTCTCCCTAAAGCAAAAAAGCCGAAAAGCAACTGGTGATATCCCTAAGTTTGGCAAAGATTTACTCACATTACCGTTCATTTCATAAGTTCCTTAACAAAGTTAGTAGTTTGGAAGAGCTGCAGAGATTCCCGGGTTGATTAACTTTGTAAAAGTTTTTGATGATCTTAAGGTAATATCTATATTAAACTTATGAGCAGTTAAATACTGTATAATTTATATTGCCCATGTTTAAGCTTACATTTTACGTTTGACTGACTTGACCGTAGCTTGTTCTGGAAAAATTATTTTTTATGGCTTGACACTAAATTTTATTCATTTTCTGCAATCCTATTTGCTTCAGATAATATTACATGTTCAGTACCGTTGATTCAAATCTGTTAATATACACGCAAAGTCAGGTGTCCCTCGAGGTTCGGTCTAGGACCACTTTTGTTTAATTTATTTGTAAAGGACATAAATCTGAGTATTGATAATAATACATTGTTAAATACAGACGACTAAGATTATTCAGGTGTATTCTGGTGTGACGCTAACTTAATACCTACCACTTAATATCAAGAAATGTTTTATATAGAAATGAACTTTTATTAATCATATTAATGACATTACCAACAGTGCCTATAAATCTCTTGGATTTAACTTTCGCAATTGCGAACAGTTTTCGGTGAACACTATCAAATTACTTTTATTCACTAGTTCGCTCTAAACTGGAATATGTATGCTAATGTAGTATGGAATTCAGACCATGACATTTATAAAAACAGCTTAAAGAAAAGTCAGAGGCAATTCCTTAAATAGCTGATAATGTCTATCCACCTGGGGGAATCCCTCAATCCGAATTAATAGCCAGGTTTAAACTTAATGACAGCTCAAAGAAGTTTTTATTTTTCTGTTTTGTTTCTATATAAACTTGATTGTAGGGAATTACTACAATACTTAAATTTTAATATTGTGGGATCGCTACACTCGCTACAATTTTTTAT